CAGTGTGGGAGCTAGTGACACAAGTTTCCCTATTTTCCAGTGGACTTCAGTATTATCTGCCCAGGCCTTCAAAACCAATTTTTTCAGTGGTAATAAGAGGAGACAGAGCATAACTGGTCTTGCGCAGACCAAGCTGGGATCAGAACCTGTGATTTCAGCAAATAACAGGGTAGAAAACTAAAGTTATCCTGCCAATAGGAGTCTTGGGCTAATAGCTGATGCTCATGCTTCAAAGTACTTCTACAATTAGAGCAGGTTTCGTTAAAGCTGGAACACATCATTTGTACCTAATGAGGATTAATGTCTCCTTGAAATTAGATACTAAGGAATGTGCGTGTCCCTTGTCCATGCCAACACCACTACATCTTAACTACAAGTTTAATTGGGTGTAGGGAATTAAAAGAAAATGTACTGGGTTTTTTTTCCTCCCATTATGCGTATTATCTTTTATTACCTATTGACCAGGTGTTTGATTGAAAATCTGTTCTCCTCACAGATAAAACCAGAAACTGGATAGCTAGTCAGAACTAGAGCATCCTAGTTACTCTTAAGAAACGGGATGGGAATATTTATTGCCTCAGCAATGGTTGTTTGTAATAAGCATTATAGTACGTATCAATAAAATAAAAAGTTTTAGGAAGGGCTAGGAACCACATGAGCAACAATAAAGTCAAGATCTCAAACAATATGCTTTGCCATGCCTTTGTGCTCTTGCACCTTTCTGTGAAATTTCAGGTGTTGTCTCATGGAGGAAGACATGCCTGTCCTCCATCCCACTCAGTAGGCTAATGTCTTTTTCACAGTTTTCCCAAGGATGTATTTTTCAGATACTAACAAGGAAATAAATATAAAATAGCATGTCCTAAAGCAGAAACGTACAGTAAAAAAAAATAAAAAATTCTGCAATGCATAATCATCATGTCACAGCATAATATTTGTCTGTTAAACAAGCAGTCTTGTTGTGTTGGGTTTTTTCCTGCAGTTTTAGTGTCTTTTTGTCATTACATCTGGTCATTTTAGTTAGTCTTAATTTCTCATTATTTTTTTGTGGTGTTGTTATAGGCACTGTATATAAAGTATACACAAATAAATGAAAAGAACATCATCCTTATTATTGCTCTTTAGTTTTAAAATAAACTGTGTTACGCTATTATCTGTTAAAATTTATCTAGATTCACCAGCTAGAAAAGAATCATAAGATCAAAGAATGGTTTGGGTCAGAAGAGACCTTCAAAGATCATCTAGACAAACCTCCCTGTCATGGGTGGGGACATTTTTCATTAGATCAGGTTGCTCAAAGCCCTGTCCAATAGAAAATGTCCTCTTGAAAGCAAATGTAGAATGCAAGCAGATGTAATGAATTTAAAGATTATCTCCAAGCACTTAGAAAACAGTATTATTTGGATTACATCTCACCTGAAAGAAAGTACATGCCATAGCAATGATTTCCAGTAATCATCAAAATTAATCCTTGGGCTGACAGCCAACACAAATCCTATACATAGTTTAAAAGCTCACAAAGCCGTAGACAGTCAAGTGGGATTCTACATCAGTAGAAGTGTGAATATTGGGCTTATCCTACACTCGGGAACAAACTTCTTACCACAGGCTGGAGTATTGCTTCAGTGCTGACTGAAAAGAGGAGAGTGGGACATAGGATTTCCCTTCCGTGTGTCACTTCCATACGTCCCACATGATTTTCCTGAAAGTCCTGTTATGTGTGTTCTGCCCACTCTTTGTTTATGGCATCTGTCTGAAAGGTTGCCAGCTGAGTAGCTGAGTTTATGTGTTGATGTATGGAAGTAAAGTCAAGATATATGTCATGAGTCTGAAGCTCAGAAGACAGCAGTTTTCTGTCGATGATTGAAATTTCAATTGTTAAATGTGTTCCAACTGGATTCATCAAAGAGAATACTTGGTATCTCCTGTACAGAGCCTGAAGTTGAGTCTCTTGCTGCGAAGCGGCAGCATTCTGGTATAAGAAATAAGCAGTTTACATTACATTACCTGTTGAAGATTAAGAATTTTATAGGCATAAGCTTAATGATTGCTTGTGACATTGGAAAATAGTACATGCTCTATTGGAAAACTTCAAGCATCTGCTTCTACTTTCTGAAAGAATTTTTAACTTTTATTAAACATACAACTGTGAACAAGCCACTTGGGTGGCAGCTTTTCCACCATGCACAGGGTTTCCAAGCTCTGAATTCACAAATACTGAAACACTCTCAGCAGTTCGTTGATATTTAAAACCTGTACACCCAGATGAAGAGTCTTTGAATTTTCTATACTTCTGTAAATGACGAGAAAGATACAGGTTAATTTTTTAACATCTGGCACATTCGACTCACTTTATGGATTAAGAATCTCGAAGACGTTAGAGAGGAGTGTGCTTCAGCCACTAAAAAAAATAAATTGATTTTTATCAGGCTTTCTTTTATTGATTGGCAGCTTAACATTTATCAGCTCAAACAGCTTAAGGCTGCCATTTTGTGAAGTGATATTTTAGAGGTCAAGCTAATGTACCAGGTGGTTTTGTTTGCATTTCTAAAACTGATCTTTGCTGGGCCATCATTATCCGCTTTTACCTGCTTTGAGGACTCAGGACGTAACACACACAGTGAAAAGTAATTATGAAAAGCTCTTCTCCCAGCCTTTATCCATAATTTCTGAATAATAATTTTAAAAAAAAAAAGCAGCAAGTGCTGTGATGACATCTCTTTTGGTTTTAATCAAAGAATTTTCACTATAATATCGCTTCTTCCTTCTCTCAGCGCATCACCAGCAGCCCTGAAATAAGAAACATCTTGTGTTCATCAGTTTGTTAGTAAACAAGGTCAGAGGGACTTCTCTAAACATGACCAGCAAATTAAGCATTTTTTTTACTCTCCCAGGAATGAAACATAACAGTATCGAGAAATGAAATATTTTATTTACAAGAAGTGTTTGTACTGACCACATGCCAGATTCTTACATTTTAAATGTGTCGGCAACATTTATCAAACTGTTTCCCCATGCATATTTACCATTTTTCTTTACCATTGGCTGTGAGCTAGCCAATCACAAACACTGAAACAGGACATTATAATCAAATATAAAAAAAAAAAAAAACAAACAAAAAAACACAACCCCAAACCCCACAAAATAACCTTGAGAGCAAAGAAAGCTGAGACACCAACACCACAGATCTCACAATTTATTCCCATAGTTGTGATAACAAAGTGCTGCCTCACAAGATTTGATACACACTAACCCACATGGCAAATCTGTATTCCTACTCAATAAAGAGTTTCTGAAATAGATGAGAGTGAATATATGTGTGTTGCTTGACAAATGGCATTTCTTATAGTTGACAATTGTTAAAAGCATTCAATAACGCTGTGCAATCTCTGGCATTGTTGTACACAGAAAACCTTGGCTGTTTCCTAGGACTATATATTTAAAATTATATTTTCATTAAACTGAATTGTCTGTCAACTTCTGATTTCACATGTCATTACCATATTGCAGTTGAAAATTTTCTAAACCAGTATCAAGGAATGACATGCAAAGTCAAAAGACAAATGCCTCATCAACTATAAATTATGCTCCAGCAAGTCTGCATTCTGAGGGTAAAGAAGTTACGGAGAGCAAAGCAGCAAACCACAGATTTCTTATTGCTAACTAGAAGTAACAGAGACTGGCAGGATGTCATTCACCTGTTAATTTTCAGGTGTGGCCAGAATAAAGCCAGTTAAGAGAGTAAAACAACAAAAGGACTCCTGCAGCTGGAATCTGCTCCAAATGTCCCTTTGGTCTGGGTGAAAGTAAACAGCTGCAGGTAGACAGACAGGACGGGTTTTCGGAATGGGATGCAAAGGGAAAATCGGTGTCATGTCAACACTCACAAACTGGCATGTGTGGAAATGGGGGTATTTTGTGGGCATGCGGCTGACAATTTTGCACACATTTTTTACAACTACTGTGGAGTTGAGACAGGGAAACATGGAAACCTAAATCTGAATTAATTTTTTAGGTTATCAGTATAACTCAACTCTCATTTATCTCCAGTGAGGAGGTTGGGTTTTGGCATTTAAATGGCGCCCATTCAGCTTCACTGTATTTTACTTGAGCATGACCTAAAGGCCTAAATCTGTTGTTAATTCAGATGAATTTTCCTGTTGGTATTTCATAGATGATCTGTTAGAAAATCTTTGGTACATTAGTATGTTTGCCACTTTCACTGCTCCAAATGGAAGTGGGGTGATGTTTCCGGAAATGCACAGATATTATACATGCTGTGTGGGTGACAATGGAGCCAGTACCCATGAGGGTAGATTTTAAGGCCTGGTCAGACAAGCTGTGGTTGAGGCTGAAGATGATTTGAGTGAAGAGAAGTTACTGCATGCATTGTAAATGCAGATCAGTTCACGGAAGCAGGTTTCTTCACTAAACTGAGAAGATGCTAATCTGGATGGGGGACAGAGGGGAGAAAAGAGAACAGGGTGCTTTGCTGGAGAAAACTTTTCACTTGAATCTTTGGCAGCTGGAACAGTCTGCCTGGCTGTGGTCCTACTTAAATTAATAGCTATAATTCAAAGTTAATATTTTAAATAAATACGGTGGAATTTTGTTTTAGATTGTCTCCAGTACCACGGGGTAAAAACGTCTCTGTTGCCTGTTAAAAAAAATTAATGCTTAAGTGACATTCTAATCAATGAAATTGCTTTTCAGGCTGTACGTCCATGGAGAAGTAGGATATGCACTGTGTTTTGTACAGTACCTGATATGACAGTTCTTCTGCCAGACAGCACAATTACGAAATAAACGATAGATGTTTGCAATTTCCTCTCTCCCCTTTAATGGCCTATTTTCATGTTAAAATTACTGGGGTGAGGGGGAAGGCAAGTTATTCATCTCATTTTCCTTACAATAATTGAAAACATCTTTTATTTCCCTTGCTTTACCTTGAATACCACAGAGTTCAAGGTTTTCATGCTTTTCCCCTCCCTGTCTCCTAGGAAACCGATCTCATGACCTTTAACATCTCAATGCACCGTTCTTGGTGGCGGGAACACGGGCCCGGCTGCATACGAAGGGTGGTGCGTCCATCTGCTCCCGGCATCCTAGAGGATTACTCCTACGTCTCTGTGACGGGCTGCATAATTGATTTCCAGTACCTGGAGGTCATTCACAGCGCTATCCAAATACTCCTCTCCGTAAGTTCCCATTTCCTCTGGTACTCGGATCCTGGCAGCCTGCTGCTGTTGGGTGTCTCTGTCCTGAAAGAGGGATGTAGTAGTTGATGGATAGCAGCACAGATTTTTAATTGTACACTGAATTAGAGAATGATATTCATGTTATTGAAGTGTGCACTGCTCTTTTCTTTCCTTCTATCTTGTAAAGCTCAGTACAGGCATAGTCCCCATTCTGGCCTTTGCTGGGACAGGTGAAAACTAACTTGAGCTCTTGGCTCTCATTCATTGAGACATGTACAGTAAAGTACAGACTTGTCCAAAATTAATTTTCCTAAACCTTTCCAAAATTGGCAGTCAATGACAGTATTTATTCAGTGCTGAATGTAAATATATTTGACACGATACTTGGCTAAGTTTGTTTCCAAAATGAGATATGGATGTAACACTTGAAAAAGGTCAGAGAAGTATTAGGAATTAAAGTACTCATTTGTATTTAACCACGTCATTTGCTCTTTCCTGGAACCCTGCGTTATCACAATACTCTACCTCCATGATCCGAATTTTATAGTTGCAATACCAGTCAAAAACTGCACAGACATGAAGTTGTTATAAAAAGCCTGCAGTGCAGGGATGAGCTGGCGCTGGACGAGATGCTTTGGGGGCAACAGCCCAGTCTTGACCACAGTCTTTCTTCAATCTGATGGCTGCTTCTGCTTGTCATGAAAGGTTGTTTGGCACGAGCTGCGTGTGATCTCTGAGAAGTGGTAGCTCGTTCTCTACATTGCCGTGTATAGTACGTAGCAACCGGCCCACCCCAAGTGGGTGCACAGAGGTCTGGTACACCCCAGATGTCCAAACCTATTCTGAGAACATAAATGCTCGTGGCTCATGATCCTAACCACGGATACCAGTGCTTGTCAGTTAGTAAAACAGCTTGAAGTACTGAATAGACCAGGGATATGCAGCCCTTTTGGTTGCTCAGAACACCTATCTCACCTGACTGACAATGGGTAAATACAGCCACTAGTAAAGTAGAAGTGATCTGCAGGATAAAACTCAATCATCAGTTTAAAAATATTTTCAAATTTTAATTTTTTACACTTTTTCAAGATAAGAACATTTCTCTTTTGAAAGAAAAAAAAAAAAACATCTGTCGTCCTGTTCGGCTGTCTAGAATGAAATAGTCTGAAAGTTCGAGGTCATTTTTCTGTATTGCTCAATGCCTTTTGTGAGATGCTGAGTGTTTTTTCCTTGCCACTGCTTTTAATCAAAATATAATAAACTTGTATCTTATAGCAGTGATTAACAAGCTTCCGCTTGACAATCCAGGTCTGAATTAGTGCCCTTGGTTAGCGCACCCGTGGCATCACATGCATCTGCACAAGCCGTGTGTCTGCTCCTGGTCTATCAGCTTCTCAGGCACCAGTGACCATACAAGCACCTACACAAGCCTTCTCCTGACTGTCGTTCAATCAGGAGGCAAAGACTTTGAGTCAGGATCTTTTCCAGTGAAGGTAAAATCACTTCTCTTGAGGCCCAGCCTGCGTATGTCAACATAGACTGTAACGTTTCTGTGAAGGCAGAAAGAATTTTGTGCGGAAGAATTTTGTGCGCTGCATCTGCAAAGCTTAACCAAATGCACCTTCCTTACTTTTGTGGGGGCCTGATACTCCAAGCAGGTTGCTTCTCCCACGACCTCTTCATTTGCAGCGAATTCCCCTTGCAGTGCAGTGTCGTTCACTCTGCTTCAGAGAGCCAGAACAAGCAAAACTGAAGTGTGGTTGGTTTAAAAGGAGAAAAACATCAATATTTCCAGTACTTCCTCACTTCTATAAGAAAAAGTGTATTGTGTTAGAAAATTTTCTAGAATAGTTGTGATCAGAAACAAAATCAGAGTTCAGTGGAAATACAGGTGATTGTTGAAATCAGGACCTGTTTTCTTCTGCACATATCAGTGCAGTACAGTTATGGTCAAAATTTTCCAAATGACAGTAACACAAATATTAGCATTAGAATAATAGAACAGAAACATTGAAAATATACAAAGTAAAAGAAATATGAAAATAGAAAAGCTTAAAAATTATGTAATAATTATAAAGCATAAGATGTAACAGGCCTTCCCTTCTTTGTGGAGTGACTGATTGCCTGAAACAATCATAAATAAATTCTGGATACAATTCATTGCAAGTCCAAAATGTGCCAGGAACTTATAAAGCTTGACTGTGAATTAAATAGTTGCCAGTTTCAGATACTGCTTTTGACTGATATACAAAATGTTAAAATTAAAATCCCAGATGCAAAGTAAAGTTTTCTTCCAGTCTTACTGTCTTGCTATCCCATCTGCGATGCGTTGTGATTAACATGCCATAAGTCTCTACTTCAGTTTCCATTCTGAGTTATAATTTAGGCTTGTTTAATTTACTGTCACGCAGGACAGGAGTCACCACCTAGATTATCAGACTTGTTGCAGTTTCCTCTCATTTTCTGAGTACTCTTGACCTGAGGAAGTTCCCATTCATTTTGGATGCATAACTGCTTTCCTAATTGGGGTACCAATTTCAATTGTTAGTTAAAAGGTCATTTAGGTTGTCTTTTTACAGTACTGAAGAATTGTAGATCAGAAGATTCTTCTTTCTTTTTCTGTTCCTACTAGCTAGCCTATTCCTTTTTGGACCTTACAACCTACTTAATTTTCATAACATTTTTATGTAGCAGTAGTAGCGTAACAAACCATTTTACAGTGTAACAAAAACTTTATTGGCATAACAAATCATTTTATCATGCTAACCCTTGGCCAAATGACTGGGAAGGTGAGCACTTCCGTTTGGTAGGGGGTTAGAGCCTCTGTAAGAAGAAATCCCTTCAGGGGTAAATATTGGATAGCTGTCGAGATATATAACTCACTAGCGGCAGTTCTTCCTTTTTGAAAGGTGACTTTTTATTGAAATCTTTTTTTTTTTTTTTACTGGTATAAAAATTTTTATATGCACAGAATGGTGCAGCTGTGACTGTATTAGACTCTGCTTCAAGAAATAGGCTCAACAGTCATTTATTTAATTCTAACACAGTGAGGCTCTTTTTGTATTTGCTTTATAGGTGCTTCTAAAAAAAGTATTTTCTATTGGTGAAACAGTAACTTTGTATCTCATCCTGATCCTGGGTGGCTGTTAAAGTGATTGGGAGTTGAAGGTGTTTAGCATTTCTTTAAATTGGGGAAAATCAAGAGAAATATTAGAGAGTGGGATGCAGTTAATAGTCAAGAAGAAATATATTTAAATTGTGTGTTTAAAATCTGCATATATTTGATGTGTAGGTCACAGTACATATTATTTTGATGAATAAATCCTTCCGCACAACACCTTTAATTTTAAAATGCAAGGCAGATCATTTTTACTAAAACTTGAATTTTTGGAGAACAAATGGATATTACAGTCAAAATGGTGACAGCTTAGCAAATTTGAGAAAGGCCCTTCATACAGTCTTTTTTGTTATCTGAAAATAGATAATGCATAATGAGAATGTTAAATGCCAGGCAGACACTGGTTTTAATAGCCTGAAATTTAAAAAGTTCTCCAAGTGCAGAGAGTTTTGTGTTAGACCTGAGCCTAATATCGTAGTAAGCTTGTCCACGGCTACACTGCGAGGCAGAGACCCCCCCAAGCTAGGGTTCACCGAGGTGACTCTGGATTTATCAGCCATATAACTTCATCAGTGCTGAAAAAGCAAAATGAATTAATTTTGGCAGAGTGACAAGCTGACACAACTAGACTGCTTCTGGGGATGGGAGCTACTACCTTCTCACAACACTGCGTTACACAAGGTGAGATCAACTTTCCGTCTCGGTCTCATCGCATTATTTTTCACTGTAGCCATACCTAACATCTGGAACTCTGAAGGAGGAAAAAATGAAAAAGAAAGAAAGAAAAAACCCTGAACCTAAAAATACCCAAAACATTCAAGCTGTTTGGCATATTGATGCTGTCCGAATGCAGGATATTTTGAAGAAAGGCACTGGTTTACTTAGCAGAGTCCCATCTGTTGCATCTCATAAGCGTCAACTAGTATAACTGCTGGGTGACTGCTAGACCTACAGATGAAGAACACTCACGGAAAAAACACTCCTGGAGAGTCACCTGGTTTTCACTACAGGGTAAAGCCAGGCAACAATGTGATATAGAGAGATTAAGAGTATTGAATCTTTTCCACAGTGGAGTTAAAAGCAGTGAACATACCTGCCTAAGGTAAAGTCAGCCACTAATCAATGGGGAATAACACTACCCAGAACAAAGCATAGCCAGAAAAATATATTACTTTCTACAGAATATGATGAAGTTGTAATATCACAAGTGTAGGAAAAATCACTCCTGGCAGCCAAACTGGGAGTTGGGTACTATGGTCACTGTGAATCTGAATGATTCTCCTCCAAGATGGACAGACTACATCTATACACATAAATTAAATGTGCCAAGGCAGCTGGGTACTGAGGCCAACTGGCTCAGAATAGCTCACATCTCCACTGATAGTCTCAGCCTCCAAAACAGCTGGTGTGTTCAAGCCATCCAGCAGGAAAAATCCCTGGACTGTTCTGACCAAAACTATGCTTGAAGTGTTTGGGGAGAGTGGTGGCTGGAGCAGGCCAACCACATGGCCATGTAGATGCATGGGTGATGGCATGCCAGTGCCAGGAATGCACCCAGACATATGGGAATTCCCTCCTATTGATGCAGCCATAGTGGGCAAATCACAGAATCACAGAATAGTCAGGGTTGGAAGGGACCTCTGGAGATCATCTAGTCCAACCCCCCTGCCAGAGCAGGGTCACCTACAGCAGGTTGCACAGGACGGCGTCCAGGCGGGTTTTGAATGTCTCCAGAGTGGGAGACTCCACAACCTCTCTGGGCAGCCTGGTCCAGTGCTCCACTACCCTCAAAGTAAAGAAGTTCTTCCTCATGTTAAGATGGAACTTCCTATGTTCAAGTTTGTGCCCATTACGTCTTGTCCTATCACTGGGCACCACTGAA